GTTGTATTTTCAATACATTTACTTGAATACGTGTTCAACAACATGTTATCAAGTTGCATTTCATATGCCATCTAGGATAGCCGAGCCTATTTTAGTTGCGTTTTTGCATGTGTTGCATTAGTCATCTTAACATGAACTAGGATCATGCATTGATTGCTAACTAGTTGTTGTTTTGGCTCGGAGTACACTGTGAGTGTTTACGCTTTAGCATACTACATGTGTGTTATTGATTGCCATGAAAGCATGCTTGCCATGAGGCTCATTGCTTATTTTCTATAACTACCTGAATGCCTGTGGGTGGAGGTTAGGTTACTTGAATTGGAACAATTCATTGAAATCCGTGATTTAGCCTACTTACGAGGAGCAAACTTCAAACCGTTTTCAAATAAACGGATATGCAATGTTTTGTTCCAACTTAGGCGATCTAGTATATACTTGTTTGTTGTGCACGTCACATAGTAATTCTAGGTTTAATAACCGGAACAAGAATACATGTGTTTTCAAAAACAAGATATCATGTTAGTAGTGGCCGATCTTTGATCGGGCGAGCGGGGGTGCTCATTGCATGACCTTCCCCAATCGTACCCAAGTTCCCGAGCCGAGGTAACTTTGGTGATGATGGACACGTGGCCTTAGGCATGAGTCAGGGTTTCCTAAATTTCCCCAAAATAAAATATTTAGGTGGCAACTCTGTATCTGGCAAAGCAGTTCATGTTTGGCACTTCTTTATAAAAATCAGTTTTCCAAAACGATTTGCTGGATTTAGACTCTTTGGTGATTTATCGGTCTTGCATTGCACCTTGCGAGACCAGATTCAGAACCGTGACATTGAGTCCAAACTGTGGCAGTAAGCTCGGAACGAAACGAGATTCACGCCCCCCTCGCGAGTGCGGATGTCGGAGAGTTCCTGGGAGCGCATCTACAGCTATAGAGAGAGATAACAATACATAAGTCACAAAATGTACACAACAATCATGATATTCATGATGAGGGAATGAATTTGTTTCGATATTGAATTTGAATTATCATTTGTAAAAAAAAAAAAATGAGTTAAAAAATAGTTTCTATTTTATTTTATTTTACTTTACTTTAAATTTAGAATTCAAACATAATTAAGCTATAGCAGGGTTTCAATAATAGTATTAGTAGACAAATTAGTATTGGTGAGTTGTAGCAGTATTGGAATTATTTAACTTTTACGAATTTTTTAATAATCATTAATTGTGTGAACTAGTTTGTTGTTGGTTGTTTATGGAGGGCTACTTGCCACTCTCACAGCTTTAAAAATTGTGTCATCCCTTGCCTTACTAAGTCACCAAAAGCTTACCCTTTTTCACACCTATGCAAACCCTTGAAGCACCACTTTTTGCCAATTTTACAGTCATATATGGTCCATAGATGGACATTCACACCACAAATTGGTCTTCCTATCAAGCACATCTGGATCTGCATTTGTGGCATTGACTTTGAATTGACACATGCTGCTTAGTTTATTGCTTATTGATTTGTTTGTTCCTGTAAATTTTTTCTCTTTTCAAAATTTAAAGCTTCCTAGATTTGAGTAAGCGGTGAATTTTAGTCTTTACTCTTGTACAATTGCATTCTTAAAGTTCAAATGCTGTTAATTATGGTGTTTTTGTTTTGTTAGAGCTTGCAGCTTGGCCTTCTGAGATTTGATATGGAATTTGACACGGTAGTTGCTGAAATTTGACATGAAACTTGCTAAAGAAATAAAAGAGAAAAAAAAGTATGATAAGGATTTAATCAAAAAAGTTAGGATAATTTTTGTTTTTATTATTAATAGGAGTTTGGTGAAGTGGTTATTTTCATGTTATTTTCTTACTGATATTGTCTCTGTGAATACGAAGTAGGGATTTTTGCTAACTTATCCTTTAGTGCACTTATCTCCCACTTTTGAATTTGTTAAGAGTTAAGAAGAAATACAACAACCACCAGCTCTTAGCTTGAGTGGTGTCTTTTCCCACTCCCTGAGAGGAAGTTACAGGGTTAAAGTTAGTAATTCAAATTCTCATCTATTTAACATATTTTGCTGCCTTTTGCTTAGTTTCTTTTTTTCCTTTAATTTAGGTCACCCTTTTTCATAGCCTATCACTGTAAAGGAACTTTGTTGTAACATAAAAAATTCTCACATAATGGATTGCTTGATTTACATTTCATGGCATTGTTTTTCAAATATCATAGCATTGTTTCTCATTTCCTTTCATTTAATTATATGCCATATCTATAGTTGCAAAGATGTCCAAAAACAGTAAATTATTTCTGAAGCCTGGCACCTGTGCTGATGTGCTTTTGGCCTGCTATGTTGTTGCTACTGTACAAACTATTTCGATATGAATATGTTGTTGTTATTCCAATTATGTAGCACTTTGTTATTTATTTTTATTTTTTTTGGTGCATGTCTCTGGCTATTTTTGGATGCTGGCTATTAGTTGTCTGTTGCAGTGTGTTGCAGTCTTTTGCTATTCTGGATGCTGATATGCTGATGTTTTTCCATTTTTTGTAGGAGTTTGTTATTTTTCTTTTTTGGGTACATGCTGGTCTGATGCTGATGGCTATTGCTTGCCAGTCTGCTGCAGCTGCTGATCTATTGTTGCTGCTGGTTTGAATCTTCGGACTGATTTCAATTTTCTCTACCAATTTACAGAGACTAAAACTACAATGACAACCAACTGAAAGAGATAAAATAAAGAAAAAATAGATTAGAGTAATTCCCTCATTACTTTTCCCCTGCTTTCTTATCAATCATATACCAGCACTTAACCCAAGATTGGAGAGGATCCCATCAACTAGCCAATAAAGAGAAATAAAACAGTAGAAACAACATAGTACACCAAGGTAAAATAATCCCCAAAGCTACAAATAAACACCCAAGGCCCTACACAGCTCTGTAGCAGCAGCAGCAACTGGCAGCAGCTCTATATCTGTAAACATTAGCACATCTAGTAGCAATAGCAACTTGGTTACATTAAGAGTTTGGAGAATTAAATAATGTTGTGAATGTTAGGGTTATGTTGCAAGTACCTTTGGTGTGGTGTATATTTCTTTGATACCTTGGAGAGAGAAAAAGATTTTAAAAAATACATGTTAAATGAATGAATGTGCTTGATAATCTTATAAGATTGAGAATTGTTCAGTTTATTCCTCTTATATGGATTATGCATTTATGCTTGTAAGTCATTTTATAACTTGCTTACATAAGGAGTATTTTGGGTAAATTGATGGTCATAGTCCCTTTTCTTTTCTTTTCCTTCATTAGAATTAAAGAGACTCGTAAAAAGAATTTGGAGGACTCCTCATAGTTGAAGAAAGTATAGGGCTCCTATTTTAGCTAGTGAAGCAGCACTGTTATTAGGGCCTGAATAACATTGTGGCCAAGACATTATACATGTCTAAGATTTGCATAACTTCATTTTCTGGTTCTGAAATTGTTAATCATATTTACGTTGCTATATTATGATTGTGTTTATTCAAGAAAGATTCAACCATACACTGTCATCTATATTCTTTTCTATCAGAGACAAAATGAAAATTTTCTCTATTCCCTTTTTTAACTGTTGTTATAAACTTTAAATACTTGTTGCAGGGTAGTGATTTGGAAAGTTGTTGCTAGTTTTGAGGGCAACTTCCCTACCGGGATTAAACAGATGCCTTTAGACAGACATTTTGACTTGAACAATGTCAAAAGGGTATTTATTCTTGTCTATTTGAATTTTCAGTTACAATATGTAGCTTTCTTGCTATTTGGTTCTATGATGACCCTTTTAAGTTGGTCCCAGATTGTGCTTGAAGCAAATGATTATCAACCCTATCTTATTTCCTTTGAGAAAGCAATGATCGAGATCAAGAAACAGTATGTAGTGTTTGATGCCAAGGTTCTCAGTAAAATTTCAAGAGGACCATTGAAAGATAAGAAAAGGGTTGTTGCTGGTTTGATGGTCTCAGTAAAAGGGCCCTACTAGTCTGATCTGGTCATGGCTGATGGCTGTTGGTTGCTGGTCTGCTGCAGCTGTTGGTTTCTTGCTGCTGCTACTGCCTTGATGGCTGATGCTTGCTGGGTTGCTGCTGCTGCAATGTTGTTGTGAGGCAGCTGCTATTAGATGCTGGTCTGCTGCAACTTTGTAATAGTGGTCTTTATTTAGAGTCTTGTAAATGGTCTTTAGTGAGTTTAGTCTTTTAGGTTTTATACACTGCTTCTAAAAGCAGTATCAGCAGTGTTTTTTTTGCATGCACATCAATTTTAGGTAATTTCATATCAATGTTATTAGTTTGTAATAGTGGTGCCTGAGGGATGCCTCTTGTAAATCTGTAAATCTTATAAAAAAAATATAAATGATTTTTAATTATTTTTGCCGTTACAAATTTGTTGTTGCCAAAGAGTAAAGTTTTCTCGACAAACAACTTGTCAGCAAATGTGTTGCCAAAGTTTATTTTAACTCACTCATATTGTGTTGCTAAGTGTATTTTTTGCCAATGCAACTTTGTCATTATTAAAAGTAAAGCTTTCTCGACAAACAAATCGTCGGCAAATAGCAACATTTATCAACATAAATGTGTCGTCAAAAGTTTACTTTTGCCGACTTACATTGTGTTGCTAAAAGTATATTTTTTGCCGACACTAATTTGTGTCGGGAAAAGTGCCACACAATCATCATATTTGAACTATTTTTATCGACGCAAGGTAAATTGCAGACAATGGATGAAAGCTTTTACTGACGACTATGTTTGTCACTAAAGGCATTACTTTTACTAATGCAATGATAATTTCGTCGGCAAAAAGTTTTGCCGACTCACTTTTGCCTACCGGTTGCCAACGTAGCTCTGTGTGTCAGCAAAAGTTTTTGCCGACGAATTTTCCCTTTTAGCAACATATTTTCTTGCATTGCGAAAAATGCAATTTCTTGTAGTGTTACCAAATTAGTTTGGCCCAAAAGTTAAGTAGATTTGGACATGCTAATAGGTTTTTAAGGTCTCGTTTGTCAACTATATATTTTAGTCAAAAAGTCACTATAAGTTGTCAAATCACTCTCTCTATTTTTCTACATATCTTTTCGTAAAAAGTCAAAAAATTACTAAAATAACTTGTTCCCAAACGAAGCCGAGGCTTGTCGATTTGGGTTCCATGAGCCGTTTGAGTTAGAAATTTTAAGCCCAACCTCTTCTTTTCCCATTACTCTTTTTTATTTTCTCGTGAGCTTTTCTCATTATTCTTTTATTTTCTCTCTATTTATTTACTTATTTCTATTTTTTTATTACAGTAATAGTATGCTGACTAAGATTTTCTGTTCTTTTGGTGTATGATTGGCCATGTTAGGGCTCAATGTTAGCTCATGGCATTCAAGTAATCATAACTGTCAAAATTGATCATCTTCTCCTATATACCCACACTACAACAAAAAACACTATTGGCGACTAAAATGGGAATTTTCGTCGCTGAAAGTCATGGAATTGGCGACTAAAATGGAATTAGTCGCCAAAATTGGTCACTTTTGCCGACTAAAAGACTTTAGTCGCCGAATGTAATGGTTTTAGCGACTAAAAGGGGTGTATTTTCTTGTAGTGCCAATTGGCGAAGACTAAATACAAATCAGAAATTACCAAATTCTGAATAGAAAATTTTGAGATATGAATGTGGTTGGGGTGCCAACAAATGCACTAAATGTAAAAGAATTTCACAGAAGGGGACACAGTGCACTTAGGCTTTCTCCATTGGGAAATGTATAAGGGTCATGTCCGGGATGTTTCTAAAGAATAAATATGAGCAAGTGCAAAACACTGTGCTTCAGTACTAGCATCTGGCCAAGACACAGCTCCAAAGTTTCACATATGCTTCCTAAAGTCTCATGGAAATATTTCACAAATATGTTTGAAGAACCGTTCCATGCCTACTTTGGTAACAAGTTACAATGCATAATGATTCTCGCAGTTTCAATTAGAGTTTAGATTGTCTTCAGTCTACCATGTGAATTGGATTGGTCTAATTCAAGCATGTGTTTTGATAATTCAATCTGGTGATGATCAATTTATTTTCATTTGGGGATGACCTACACGCTAAGGGCTAAAAAATTAACATATTAAATTATCGAAGTGGGACTCGTGGTGGGTCCATGAACTCAAACTCGAGAAGCTTTGTTTTAATTTGAGTCTAGGTTGTCTTAATTTGATCTAGGTTATCTCCACATTTTGATGATTTAATCTTTTAAGTTCTTATTATGTATATCATCCATAAAAGAAAAAAAAAAAATTAATCCCATAATTATAACCAAATGATTTTGTCAATTAGGCTTCATGTATTTTCAAAGATAATACAAACTAGGAGAATTCAACAATCACAGCAGGCTCAAATAGACCATTCTATTAACATGTCATTCCATCTAAGTGTGCATAAAAAAATAAAAAATAAAAAATAAAAGGGCAACTTTACGAGATTTCTGTCACTTTGTATTTGAAGAAAGTTAAATGTCCACAATGCAATTTACTCCAATAAACCTATTTCTACAAATGATGCCAAAAGTAACAAAGATGTAACAAGCCCACTCTAAATCATTTGTAGGTACATAGTAACTCAAAAAATTGAATCAAACTACATGCGTTTCTCTTTTTTGAATTTATTAATCATCTAATAGTTGCATGACTAATCACAAACAAATTCACAGCAATCATCTCCAAATCACTGGTAGACATGACACAGTTGTGAATGTAAACATATTGAATAGTAAACAAAATGTACGTAAAAAGGAAAAATAAAACAAATAAAATAGCATTATTGAATGCAATATGTACTAAATTAACCCATCTAATCGTTAGTATCAAAAGTGGCGGATCACTCGTAGATTCATTATCTCTTTCTCTCACAGGTGGTGCTCTTGGATTCAATCCACATAGTTAGCCCCCCCACGTCTTCGATTTGTGCATATTGTTGTTATATCATTCTAGCTAGTAGTCGCAACAATTATATGCAAGAATAATGTGTACTAAAGAATGAGAATTTGCACTGTTTAAGCTCCTCCTCTAGCTAGCTACATCACATGGCTAGTTTCAACTTTTTTCATATCCAAAAATAGGTATAAAAAAGGACAGAATTTATCCCACTAGTAAGGGTTCATTGCTTAATGTGGAAACCTCTACGCTATAGTCGGAATGAAATATCTCCACACAAAGTACAAGCATTAATTAGTGCTCTTCCTTTCAATAATTTATTCTGATTCTATCCCTTTTGCATCTTATCCATACCCTTGCCTTCTCTTCCACCATTATAGTGGTATTAGTACTTTTGGTGCACAATTTATCGTGAGTTAGAAACTGATGGTTTAAAAGTAGAAATCAAAAGTATTTATCATTAAACTTTTTTAAATTAGTTTTTTTTAACTTATTTAAGTTATTTTTACTTAAAAAATTATATGTGAAAACTGTATTAAACAGTCAAGTACAGACTCCAAAAATAAAAAACTATAAACAAATTACACCAAATAACTCCACTATTTGGTATAACGTCTAGATTTACTTATATATATATATATATACACTTAAAAAAATAAACTGATTCTTATTAAAACTTCATTATAGTTCAGTACATGATATTTATACAAGTCTAATTCTGTTACAGGTAACAGACTCTCAACTCACTCACAACTAACTAACTAAGCATTTCTACTTTATTGTTACAACTGAATCTTGAGTCTTGAGCTGCTGCAGACGTGGCTTGCTATCTGATGATGGCTCAACACTCTTATCATAGTGGTTGGTATGACTTTTGTTTAGAAATTATTAAGGAGAAATAATTTAAATAAGTTTAAAAGAAAATAAAAAGACGATTATTGTGAAAAAAATGAATGATGCTTTTGGCTTCTTTCTTATAATTCTCAAGTTTCAATTTGCAGGAATCTGCATCAAATAGGTCTAGGAATAACTTGGGTAAATTACAATGATCACCTCAAAAAATTACAAAAAATACAATAAGTCTCACAAATTTAACATAATTGTATTTTTTTTAATCGACATAATTACATTGACTTCTATACATTTCACTTATTTTTGTATTTTTCTTTTTTTTCAAATTTCTATTTAAATTCATGGTTCAAACCCAATTTAAAAATCATTGTAAAGATAAATTTTGTAGACGTATTTAGCATCACCCTTAATTAAATATTACACCCTTTATTATTGCTTGTTATTTTCATATGATATATATATGTATAATTAGTGTCAACAAGGTATCGTAGGGGTAATTATTCAGTATTCTCGGAGTATAGACACGTGATACTCCTTAAAGTTTTGATTGGTAGAGAAGGGTATGAGTCCACGATTTATATTGGGGATGAGGTAACAACATGAGACTAAGTAATTGATGATTAACTTAGAATATGATCACATAGTGTTCCGAAATTATTGAATAATTTCCAGTATCATAGAGGATTTTTTTTTTTTTTTTTCTGTTGCCCTATTGAGTCCTTGTCTCAAATTTTGTGGGGGTTTGGAAAAACTACAAGGAAAAATGATCCGGACCCCCTTTTCCCCCACCCCCTTAACATCCTCTCTCTCTCTGATTGGCCAGTTTTTTTTTTTTCCTTCTCCTCCAATCACCAGCCGCCACTTGTGTGTAGGGGGTGGTGGGAGTGGTGATTAGAGGGGGTCTCAATCGAAAAATGACTGGGACCTCTAATTAGAGCTACCACTAATGAGTTGTGTCTATATTTTTTTTTTTTACTATGCCACCTTATTAGTACTAGATTTAGAGCTACAAAATTAATATTACGGCGTCTCAATCACTTCCCAACTACAAAAGAGTGTAGGAAAAATCAAAGTCATGTCTTGGGCAGCTATCATTTGTATTGGAGTGATCAGCGGTGTGGTGATGGAGAAGAAAGGCGCTAGCCTTTCACATAAGTGAGTAGGATTTGATTTCTAAAAGCATAATTATTTTTTATTTATGGTTGAAATTCATCATACTATATTTCATTCGTAACTCTGTCTCTTATATTAGGAGTTTGTGCATTTCCCTCTTATTTCAGTGGTAAGTCTCTTCTTATGAGTTGGGGTAAATCTGACCTACACACCAGAGCTTAGGGGTTGCAATGATACCACCAAGAAGCACGGTTTTTTTTTCTGGTTCAAAAAAAAAAAAAATCATTCACTATGCTTGATTATCATTTTTCAAAAACACTTTTCAAAAAATTCTACTTTCTTATTTTCTGTGTTTTTTTGTTTTTACTAAATTTTTTTAATATTTTGAGTAATTTTTTTAATTTTTAGACATACTTAACATAAATATACCTAAAAAGTAAAAAAAATTTGAAAAAAACCTTTTAAAAATTCACTAAATACCAAAAATACAAAAAAAAAATGAGAATTCAGTACATTTTTTGTATTTATTTTGGAATGCATATTAAATATATAGTCAAGTATTTAAAATCTAAAACATGCTCACAAATGCTTGCCGCCATATTATACTAGGTGTCGTTTGGGAAGTGGATTGACTTTTTGGCTTTTTAGTTTTTTTGACTATTTTGGTTTGGGCTAAAAAGTTTGGTTTGGGAAAGGCTTTTTGACTTTTTTGACTCTTTTTTTTTGTGAGAGAAGAGCGTAATGATTATGGGTTGGATATGATGTTTTGTTTTTTGTGACTAAAATATCCTATTTTATCTTTTGTGGCTAAAATACCCAAAAAAACTTGGTTTAGCTCTTCCCAAACGGAAATTATCAATAATCCCACGTTTAGTTAGTTGTAGAGCATACTATATAAATAAAGATATGGACAAGTTACACTAACGGTCCCTATAGTTTGACACTTGTGTCACTTTGGTCCCTGAATTTTAATTGTGACACATTTGACCATAAATTTTGAATCTTGTTCCAAATAAGGACAATTAAATATATAATTGCTTAATTTCAAGGGCAAAATAGTCAATTTTATAAAATATTAACTAATTTGACAAAAATAAATGTCAAAAAATATTTTTGAAATTTTAAAAATTATTTATATCAATTAAAGATAAAATTATATAAAATTGATAAATCTTTTAGACATTTATTTATTTTTACCAAATTAATTTTTATTATGTGTTTGGTTGATTATTATGTAATGGATAGTTGTTTTTATCTTCATTAAATTAGTTTTTATTTTTTCAAAAGTCAAATATAGTGACAACTTTGATATCATTATTAAACAAATCCATTAAATCAAAAAATTCAAAACTAAAAACATTTTATATATTAAATATATCGATTACACATTAAAATCGTAATAACTACTCATTGCATGATCATTATCCAAACACATACTAAGAATTAATTTGGTTAAAAAAAATTAAATAAATAAATATCTAAAAGATTTATTAATTTTACATAATTTTATCTTTGGTGGATAGAAATAATTTTTAAAAATTTTAAATATTTTTTGATATTTATTTTTGTCAAATTAGTGTATATTTTATCAAATTGACAATTTTGTCTTTAAAATTAAGCAATAATATATTTAATTTTCCTTATTTGGAACAATATTTAAAATTCAGGATCAAATGTGTCACAATTGAAAAGTTAAGGATCAAACTGACACAAGTCTCAAACTATAGGGACTGTTAATGTAATTCGCCCTAAAGATTTTGTTGAGTCAAGCTCATTTTTTTCCACATAAAGAATCCAAAAGAAGCATTTAGAAAAGTATTAAATTGGTAGGTTTGAAATAAATTTATCATGAATTATACAAACGTTTACACCATACATTACGTTTTCGACATACTTTTCAATGGGAATATATTTCTTCATATTGTTTTAACTTTTTTATAAAAACGTATCTTCTCTCCAGATCTCTAGAAAGGTTGACCGGTCTAACCAAGCGTACAAATCCACCCATGGATTTCGTTTTGATAACTTCATTCATTACTTTTTTAGGCTTGTGTGTGTAAATTATCCATAAAAAAGATCAAATTGATCTTGGATGTACAGCCATATGATTTAACTATATTTATCTTCAAAAAAAGGAATAACAAATATAATTTTAAAAACAGATCATCTATTTTTTTAAAAACATATGTGATGAAATCATGAAATTAGAATTATCAAATCAATCTGATTTTTGAATAAATAATCTACATAATAAAAGATATTAAAAAAATAATCTTTATAAACCCACAGACTTTAGAATGAGTTGGTCATTCACGTAATAAACTGAAGACTTAAGAAGTACAGACACTTCTGAGAAGGTGATGTATACATGTCATGTCTGCATCTGACACCGACACTCTTTTAGCACTTTTAAGACACGTGTCCGGCACTCTTCAAAACGTATCTTATTTTTTAAATTTTTTTAAAAATTCGGACAATCTTTGGACGTTTGGAGAATACATGTCTATTATTTAAACACACACACCTATCGATTAGACACATGTAAAATCAATTATAAGTTTGAACAAAACAACTTAAAACATAATAATAAAACAAGAAGCATATAAATTTATAAAAATTAGTGTCATATTACATTTTTTATTATTTTTGAATGCTATATTCATATATATAAATGTATAAAATCATATATTTCATGTGTGTCCTCCACATATCGTGTCCTGCATTTTATAAAAATTAACATATCGACGTGTTTATATCGTTTTCATGTCGTGTCACGTATCACGTGTTCGTATCCATACTTCTTAGCTGAATACAAACCCAATCCTTTTTTTATTATTATAAATGAATCATTCGCACATGAAACTCCCAAGTTTATCTTGCAACTCTCTAAGATGTGCCTTTCTTTCTTTTATTCCTTTTCTCTAGGACTTTCGCAGTTATTTCCTTCCTTTAGTTGAGAATATAAGATGGGCATTGTTCCTTTTTGTCACTTACTTATTTACATGTGACTTTAGAATGTTTCTTAAAATGTTTAAAATGACTGCAAATCTCATAAAAAGTGAGTGGTCTCTCTAATATATATATATTGCTTTGTTAATTAATGATCTTAAGCTACTTATTAATAAAATTCATAATATAATTATATTGACCTTTTTCACTTGAGTAAGTGTATAATTTACATTTGAGCACGTCTTAGGTTTGACTTAATATGATATTGAGTCCGATCTTAATTGATATACATAATCTCCAGGCATTCAGAATTTATTTTACCAAGATTGATTCAATGTATTTTAACTATAAGAGATTATTAATCTTTAATTTTTATACATTTAGCTATTTTACTTTCATTTGAAACTTCATATTTCAATTCATATGACCTACATAGAAAATACATAATTTGGATTAATGGTGAAATGTCTGTATAGTCCATTTCCATTTTGGTTTGTTTGTCCCGCAGAACCAAGGGTGTCCATTAGCCATCTAAAATTTATGGTGGGGTCCACTCAAATAAGCTCGGCAGCCTTAGATGCTTGTACATACTTGACTTTGTTGTCTCAAAGTAGCATTGCACACACTGACCCATCTCATCTAAAGAGAATTTCCATTTGGGTTTGTATCAAACAAATAGCAAAAAAATCATGTGCAGATACACTGCTTGGAGTCTATAAATCACCATATAGAAACACCTTACCTATAATAATAAAATTTAAAAAAAATCCCATACTCTCTCTCTCTCTCTCTCAATGAGTACAGTTAGTGACAGGGTGAGCAATGGTAGTCAAGAAGAATTTGAGCTAAGAAGAGGGCCATGGACTCCTGAGGAAGACAATCTGCTTATCCATTACATTACTTGCCATGGTGAAGGACGTTGGAATTTGTTAGCCAAAAGTGCAGGTAATTATAAGCATGGTTTTAAATAACGATATCGAGATATATATTAGTATTTACAGTTATATCAAACTATCTATTAGTAGAGATTGATATCAGAGTCCAAAATCAGGTGGCAAGTTTACTATTACCAAACCCCCTTTGTTCTCCTTTTCAGTTTAATCTTCTTCTCTTCAATTAATTTACTGTTTCAAAATTGAAGTAATGTATGGTTTCGTCATCAATAAAGATTTTCTTTGCTGATAAAAAAAAAACTGTTTCAGGATTGAAGAGAAATGGAAAAAGTTGTAGATTGAGATGGCTAAATTATTTAAAACCTGACATTAAGCGCGGAAACCTCACCCCACAAGAACAACTCTTGATCCTTGAACTCCATTCCAAGTGGGGTAACAGGTCGGTATCTAGCTATTTATGTTAAAATTTTGATTATTATTGAGCATAGTGTGATGATATATAAGTTTGCAGTGGCTATGCTTGTATTTTGGATTTACCGACAGAAAATAAAAAGGAATTGAAAGAAAAAGTGAAAAAAAATTTCCTTTCATTTTCCATCCAAAAATCTCTACAAATCAAAGATCAAAACACAACCTAACGGAATCTTATGACTTCGAAACTTATCAACTTTGTGATGTTAGGTGGTCAAAAATTGCACAACACCTACATGGAAGAACCGACAATGAAATAAAGAACTATTGGAGAACAAGGGTGCAAAAACAGGCGCGCCAACTCAAAATTGAGTGTAACAGCAAGGGATTTCTTGAGGCAATACGTTGTGTTTGGATGCCAAGATTACTTGAACAAATGAAGCAAACTCCATCACCATCTTCGTCATCGTCTCATTCTACTCCTCTTTCAACCATGGAAGCTCAAAACTTTACTATTACTTCTCTACATCCCAACTTGCAAGCCCCTTTGACATTATCATGTCTACAACCAAGCAAGTTAGAAAGTCTCAATCAACCCATTGAAGAATCAAGTTCAATGACCAAATCAATAATTGGTTTCCCAGATTCAATGAGAACATCACAATTGCCTGACATTTTAGAGCACCCAACAAGTCCAGCTCATGAGGCCTTTGGCAATAGTGACAATAGTTCACTTGTAAATGATTGTTACTATGTGGATATTGGTAACTATGAAGTGGAGGACTTCAACTTGCTTTCTCCCATGTCGGTAGAGGGGCCTCGTGACCTTTTGTTCTCGGATGGACAGATGGCGGGAAGCAATTGGATCGGTGATGACATGGCCGGTACCTTATGGAACAACATGGATGAGTTGTGGCAATTTAGGAAGCCGGAAGAGTTGGGCATCTAGGGTGGACTTCTTATTATTGGAGGACCTACGTGCCAAGTACTCATCATGAGGCATTTAACTTTGTACTAATAACCTATCTACCAAGTACTCATCATGAGGCATTTGACTTTGTACTATATTAATCCATAGGGTAAATTACACTTTACATATTTATATTGTACATCAAATCTTATTTCGATTCTTTATTTTCTAATTGTAACAGTTAATTGCTTGTACTTTTGGTCAAGTTACAATATAATCTGTCCACCAATTTGGTGTTCAATTAACTAATGAAATTGTCGTGTAACCATCACATGAGTCCTTTTTTTAAATAAAAAAAAATGTAATTTTCTTCTTCTTCTTCTCTATTTTTTCACTTTATTCTCTCTATTTTATTTTAAACCCATCATGGGAAGTAGTAAGAGGTGGTTAGTGGTGGTGCCTTTAAAAAATATAGTCAAAAGAGAAAATATCGTAAAAAATAAAGAATAAATAGAAAATTATATTTTTATTCCCTAAAAAATGCTTCATATAAGGGTCACATAACAATTTTTATTAGGCAATTTAACATCAAACTAATAGAAGGACTACTTCGCTACTTAACTAAAATTGTAAAGTGTTGATTGTTACAATAAAAAAAATGACTATAAAATGCAAAGGTGAACAATGTAATTTATCTTGACACATAATGTAGCAAAATTTGTAGTGTGCACCTCTTCAGTTACAATGCTCTCTAAGGGTTGTTTTGAAAATTGTATATTTTAGTTTACTTTCTAATTTTTTACAAAAAAGTAGAGAAAAGGATTAACTTTTTTATAGTGACTTTTTGACTATTTTAATAAGTTGTCAAAACAAGCTCAAGTTACTATGTAATATGTTTGAAGTTACAGCCAACTAAAATTGTATTGTAACTTCAATAATTTGGTGAGTAGTAACTCAATGTTATGACTGGATGTGGTTGTCGTAATAAAGGTATTATCACGTCATAATTGAAGAGGATACAAATGATGCATAAATTTTATGGGGGTGCATACCACACTCTTGGCTCAATATATGACAAAATTGTAATTAGTTTTTAACAAGAATGATCTCTTATGGTGCCCAAAAAACAAAAACCCTAGTACTTGATCATGTAGTCAAGTTTATTAGATTTGAAAAATACAAAATATTGATGAGGTGGTTAATGCATCTCTCTTATTCTCCCTGTGAAAGAGTAAGGTGTATAAATTTTGTCCTCAAATACTGCTTTAGCGAAACCCTCATGAACCTAGTTTTTTTGTTTTTAATTGGCAAGCAAGTTATGTTTAGCACTTGATGATTTAGTAGATGAGATAATACTAATGTTGTGAGAGGACATGAACCAAGGTCAAGGTTAATTATGTAACCTTTTCCAAAATCTTTGATACAAGTACCAATGTATATACTTTGGTGTTGTGGGTGCATTTTCTACATAATGAAATTATTTGGTTTATAATGCTTCTAACTAAAAAGATCAAATGTGCAGTCAATTTCAGGAAATGACAACTAGGAGGATCATACTGTAGGAGTCTATTCATATAAACTGTTGAAGGACATTTGGTATCTAACAATAAACGTTTAAGTCATGAGAGAAAAGCAAAAAAGATGGAAGTGACAAATCAAGGTTCTCAAACATCATCCTTATTCTTTTACACTATGACAAACTGATAAGATGATTATCAATTTAAATACAGAGAAGAACAAAAGTCAAAAGGAGAGACTCTTGTATATATCTTAGAACTCGTTTGGGAAGAAAAAGCGTGGGGCTTTTTGACTAAAATAGCCACACAAAAAAAAAAAAAAAACAAAACAAAACAAAACAAAACAAAATAAATTAAAAAGTCAATAAGACAAAATGTTACATCCAAACTATAATTATTTTATTTTTTCTCTCACAAAAGTTAAAAAATCCAAAAAGTCCATCCCAAACAAAGCTTTTTAGCCTCAGGCTAAAATAACCAAAAAGGCAAAAAACTAAAAAGTCAACTCACATCCCAAACAAACCCTTAACCTTTTTTCAAGTTCTTGAAGAGTGGCACAAATTCAATAATACCACATGCAAACCAGATTCAGATTACCAGCACCTATTGAAGCTCAAACAGATCTAATTGTTGAAAAAGCTGATGATGTTATTCCTTACTCATCATGGTCATGCAGAGCAACCAAAAAAGTTTTTTTTTTTTTTTTTTTTTTTTTTTTTTTTTTTTTTTTTTTTCAGCAACAAAAAGAAAGTTTATTGACGACCAAATAACCCCAAATGAAAAGATTGTATTTGGATTTATAGATTTGAAATGAAAGAATTTGACACCATCCGTTAAAGAATAATAATTTGAATTTAGATTTGATAGTTTTTAATGTTTCTGCAACGATCTTGATAAAGTCTATTTTTAATTTGTCTTTCCCATTAGTTTCTCAACTGACCTATAACACTTAAATGTTTTATTAATTTTATAAAATTTGATCTCAAATCTCTTCATTTGAAATCCATCCATCCAAACAGAATCTAAGGTCTCCAATGATTCCTCCCACGGAATGATATGAACCTTACCCTTCAAGCCCCTGTCTTCGATGAGGGACTAATTTTCCATCACTGCACACAGCGAAAAGAAATTCAATGGTTATCTAGTCTTCTTTGTGTTATGCAATAGCGGCGGCCTTATATACACCAATTAGTGTACTAATTAGTATACCAACACTAGTTATGACATTATTATTGATCCAGCTAATTATACAAATTACAAATACGAAAAACCTCTTAAATTATGTCGCATCATCAATTAATACATTAGTTAATATACTAATTGGTGCATATAGCATTATTTATGCAATAATGACCATCTAACAAAAGCAATGGTAAACAAATCAAAGACTCGAAGGACTAACATAGCTGTGCTTGAGCTTTCATTTTGTCTGTTTCCATTATTTTGATTTTGTCTATCATTACACTATGCAGCCACAGACTTCCATCCTTCCTTGACTCAGTCTCCACAACACACATCCATCAAAGTTTTTATGTTAATGCCCCATTGCCCACACTTGATGTGTTTAGCTCTTTTGTTTACAATCGTTAGAAGGAGCATATGGAAAGACAAAATTGCATCGCGTAATAGGGAGAGTGTAGAACTCAGGCAGACCAATTGCTTGGTGTCCATACGGGTAGGGGGGAGCCACGTGAGGACTAGCACTTGCCCCCTCAATTTTTTGAAATTACACTTTATTCTCTAATAATAAATAAATAAATAAATAAATCTTTTTCAATCCGTTGAAGTTTTAAGTGTTCTCTTAAATTTCTGTTCCTCTTCTTTTCTTTTCAATAAAATTTCTATAATTTGTCACTTTAAATGTTATGTATACTAAAATATTCTCTTATTTATATTATTTCTCCACATTCTCTCTCATTTCTTTCTTTGCATCTCTTTTTGCGTGTATATGGTAAATATAATTTTGTTCTCATCTTTTATGGAGATAAGTGATCTCTTTTTAAACTATGATGATTATCCTACAACAATTAAATTAATAATCAAAAAATAAATGATTAGTTAACTTGTTCATTGGATTGTGATTCTTGCTACGGTTTCAACACAATGTTGCTTCCCTAAGCCAAAATCTTTGCTCTTCTACTGCATACTTGTCCGGAGATTAGGTAGCGTGTTTGATTGTTGCTTAATCAACGGAGATGAGACACTAAAAATCGAAATCAACAGGAGGAAGAAGGTATCACGATAATGGATGACAGAGAAAAATATTATGGCACGAGGGCCATAAGATTGTTAATGGATTGTAATAGTAAAATGTGCTTGGAAAGATAGGAAAAAAAAACATGACAACGACTAAGTGGAATATTAACATGACTTTGAAGTAATTTGAACCGTCTAGTAGAAGATAATGAAACAAAAAAAAGGGTTGACCAATTTTACTGTTTTACCTAATTGAAATTCATGGCTGGTGTGTGCACGCGTGTTTAGTCATGTCCAATATAAAAAGAGTGATAATAGAAAGAACTAGAATTGGAACTCTAATGCCAACTCTAATGATGTGACAATATATAAAATAAATAAAAATAAAAAATTACAACATTATAAGTCAAAACATCAAATCATAAAGAGACCCATCTCTAGAACTACTCTAAAGCTCCTCATTTAGAGATCTCAAACATTTTTGATATAGAAAAGCCGTTGTTGCATTGGTGTCCTTTTCACTAAAGCATAGGTATGATCATTGAACTGAAATTTGTAGTGAAGTAGGAACTAAAGCTATGCTTTTAGAGTCCTGCTCATAGGGCATCCATGGTGGATGCCTTAGATGGGTATTAGTAGTGTCTGTCATTATTGACATTAGCCAGCTTCTTTAGTTTCACCACTGAAGCATTCACTCACCCTCTAAACTAACAAACACCCAACACATAAAATTTAGCTTTATTTTTATTATTTTTTTGTCATATAATACACATTGATGTCATAACTTACAGTAATTTTTTTAACTTTTCAAATATAAACTTCACTCCCAAACAAAGTCTAAGTTACAAGTGATCATGTGAGTTAGAGGTGTTCACAGTTCGATTGCGATTAGAAAACTTTCAATCCGCCAGCCATCCATCAGATTGGCGAATTGAAAAAAATCAATCCGCATCTGTCTGCTAGATTGACAGATGCAGATTGATAAATGTATGCGAATCAGTTTGGTAGTTTAAACTTTTATAAATTTTGAACAAAATACAACAATTTGTCAACATTTTTTTTTTTAGATAGCAATCCAACTAAGCATAATCAAAAGATTATCAAGTAAATTGTCACATACCAATAATAAATACGTATAAAAAAAAAATCATGCATTATCAAAACTATTTCATTACTTTTTTATTCAAAAACTATTTAATTTGATTTTTTTTTAAATGAAAAAATTAAACCTTATATTTTTCACACAAAAATACCAAATATCAACACTTGTCATTTGATAAAAGAATTTCCAAATTGAAAACACAGCAAAATATCTAAACTCTTTTTCAATTGCAAATACAAATAAAATATTTAAATAAATTGAAAACACAAAATCGTACAAATTACTATAAGTGTTCACAGTTTGACGGTTCGATTACGGTCAAAGGAACTTTAAATCCGTCATACGTCCAAAACTAGACGAATTAAAAAAAATCAATCCGCAACCGTTCACTTATCATCATACATATATATCCAAAATGCGATATATCGATTCGGTTTGAACAATTTAAACGAATCAGAATATACGCTACCCACCCTAATGTGAGTAGAACAGGCCAAGTTTTCCACAAGAAATTGGAAGTATATTCGAAAAGCAAGATACTTCCCCCCTTTTCGAGTTCTAGCCTATTCGGTCCTCTCAGCATCAAAACCCATAAACGTGAAGAGACTAAACTCTCCTCTCAAAAAAAGAGAAAAAAAAATGAGACTAAACTCTCACTCGACATAAAGGCTAGACTAGAGAGAGGCAGGGAGAGAGCAAGAGAGAGTTCACTTGTTTTCCATGCTTGAAAGAACTTCTCGGCGTCTCCCATTGGTTCACTTTTAAGTCCATAAAACAAAAGAAAAATGTTGGATTGAAAAGAAATGTCCTTTTTTGCATGGTGGTCGGTCCCATTGGAGTGAAAGCCTCCTCATCATTCTACTCTCTCTCCCTCACCTAATAATATTAACGTCTAGTTTAGACCCTCGTTTTCATTTTGAGTTTGTGGAATTCTGCTTTAGCTGTTCACCTTTGACTCCGCATCTGCCAACCAAAATGTGCCATTGAATCTGTAAATACTATCCCTCGTTATATTTGTTTACAGAAAATATTAAAAATATTTATATTTATTTAATAATACGAAACATATTTTAAAATTTTATTTCAAAAACAAACGAAAAATGTGATTCGCAAGAGGTGAAGCAAATAATAGTCTTAGTGCTTGTCTGTCACATGGAGGTAGAGATTAAAGTACTATTTGACATAAATTAAATAAATATACTTATTTAAATAAACATATTTATTTAAATCACATTATTATTATTATTATTATTTTTATATATCTTTTTATAAAAAAATTTAAAAAATATATTTATTTAAATCATCTCAAACAAAAATAATTACAACCAATTGTTAGAGGTGATTGCTCGGCATTGAAAATGAGTGGCAATGGCCGATGGTTGTTGGCAGCGAGAGATGATGGGTTATGTTGCTTATCGACGATCAATGATGGTGTCAGTTACCGAAAGTGTGTGATTTTTGTCAAGATGATGGCAGGAGGAGGACATTGGTGAATGTGACCCAGATGTGGGGGATGATCGATGGTAGTTATGAGATGGTGACCAAAAAAGGTGAGAAATTTTAAAAAATAAACAGACAGCCCTATATCTATGAAACATGGGATCAAAGTATAATATTAAACAAAAAAGCAAAAACAAAACAGAGGGGATGGGAGAGAAAGGTGAGTCTAAACTTGTTTTGATTATTAAAACAAATAAACAAAAAATAAAAAGCGAAAAAAAGCTTCTTCTCTTTCCTTACGTTTTAAAATTTATAGAATTTAGTCTATTTTTATGAAACGAAAACAATGTGCCAAACAAGCCACTGTTACCAGTTTCGGTGGATGCCTTAGATGGGTATTAGTAGTGTCTGTCATTATTGACATTAGCCAGCTTCTTTTATGATTACAAAAATTTAATAAATTTTATAAGCTATTACAAGTCTTTGAGAGCAAAAAAAAATACCAAACAACTATTTGTTCACAATTTTCAAAATTTTGTATATATAAAATAAATTAAAATATTACCAGACTAAAATTATATTTAAATCTTAAATTTGTGCACAAGCCCAGAAGAATCTAACTAAAAGGTCGCTTTCTAGCTCTTTTCATCAGGCATATTTCCGACCAATTGCAATTCCTGTTTCGAGATGTGGAAGAGACTAGAGACCGATTGAAAATAAGAACCCACTAAAACTACTTCACACCAGAGAAACAACCAAGCTTAAGAGGGACATTCCCGTTTTAAATTTTTAAGTGACTGATTCCTTCAGGAATTTTAAAAAATAAATAGTCAGCCCTATATCTATGAAACATGGGATCAAAGTATAATATTAAACAAAAAAACAAAATCAAAAACAAAACAGAGGTGATGGGAGAGAAAGGTGAGCCTAAACTTGTTTTGATTATTAAGGCTAGGTTTGGCATAACCTATATAATCCATCTTTTTATCTTTTTATCTTTTTTCCATCACATCACATCTCTACTTTTCTGCACATCTTTTCGTAAAAAGACAAAAAGTACACTTTTTTAGGACACCCCAAACCAACCCTAAAACAAATAAACAAAAAATAAAAAGCGAGAAAAAGCTTCTTCTCTTTCCTTACGTTTTAAAATTTATAGAATTTAGTCTATTTTTAAGAAACGAAAACAATATGCCAAACAAGCTACTGTTACCAGTTTCCAAAAAATGCAAACAAAAACATAAAATGAAACCATTAACAAACAACCCAAATTTTCATTTCCTATTTTACTTTTGTTTTCACCCATTTCAAAATTTTCAAAACTTCTGAAATAATTAAAAAGGGTGAGGGTCTTGAGATGACCTGGAAAGGCACATCTAGGGTTCAAAATCAGCAAGCGAGAGAAATAACAGCATTTGAAATTTTAGCTGCTATATTTTTGTCTTGCAAATACTTTTGCAAATATGAGGTACAAATTTTGAAGTTAGCTCTATTTTGCTAGACCTATTTTTTTGGCTAGTAAAATGAATAGTTTACACACAAAATATTCAAAAACATAAATTCTTTAATCTGGCTGCCTGCTTGATAATCATTTGTATGCAACTCACCTACTTCCCAACCTTACCATAGCTATCTCGCAGTGTGATGGTCCGATTGAAGACAAGCTTTTCTGAAGAAGAATCCTTGTCAACCACAAAATAGCCTGAAATCACACATTGAAGACATAGATTTAGACACGAACCCGTACTTTCAAAGGTGAAACAAAATCACAACACGAACCCGTACTTTCAAAGGTGAAACAAAATCACAACCAGTCAAGAAAAATGAGGTTCAAGCATCTCTCGAGTGTATTAGGAACAGTCTAGACAATATCTCAAGCAACAGCTCCCAAAAGTTCTTGGAGCACAACCATGACAAAACCTCAAACCCCCAAAAAAATGAAGAATGATGTTCTTCAAAACCAAAAGAAAAAGTGGTTTGAGTCAATCTTTTACAGGGGGGGGTGGAGGTAAACAGCAATGCATGGAAAAGGTTACATATATGAATATATATATATATATATAGGCTGGAACCATTTTGCACGGGTCTAGAATAATGGATTAATACAAACTACTTATCCATGTTGACCAGTTGTATTCAATGCTCAGTAATGCATTATTTGGATATTTAACATTCAACAACTATAGGGTCCTGAAAATTACCAAGCCTTTCAAACTGAAATCTGTCTCCAACTGCAGCATTTTTAAGGGAAGGTACAGCATATGCGCCTGGTATCACCATTTTGGACTCGGGGTTCAAATCACCAAGCCAATCGTCAAGTTCTGCAGGATTCTGATTGCAATAACAAAAATTGATGAGAATTCGTGGTCCCCACTAGTAGAAGTAAATAAAGCGTCAGAAAGGAAGGATTGCCAACCTCAGAAAGGAACAATTTATCAAACAATCTGACTTCCACCTTCAGCGGATCAACCCCAGGAGAATGTTCCGAAACCCAATGAAGAACCCCCTACATAATGAAAAAAAACTTGTAAAGAATCTACCTTGCAATTTTTTGCAACCCTAGTAAAACCATTCACATAAAATAAACACCCAATTCTGGGGCAACAAACAACCTTTGGCTTTGTCTTTTTGGAAGGATCATACTCAGCCCGGATTTCAAGAACAGTCTCTTTATCATCACCAAGAATTACATCTGTGCACTTTATAGGAAATGCATATCTGGAGACAAACAAAAGTCTCAATACTGAGCACTCCCATCTGCCTAGATGGATCAGTAAATATAAAATTAAAATCTGCACACACCTCAATAGGACTGACTTGCCAGGGGCAAGCCCATAGTAATCTTTGGAATCTTTCATCCGAAAATCAGAGTTCTCAATGTATACAACATTGGAAAAAGGGACCTATAATAGAAGCATAAATGAGAAAATCTGTCAAAAATCAAGACATCTAATCTAACACTTGTTCCAATATCTGTTTTATAGAACCCTTTTTTTTTCTTTTTCTTTTTTTTTTTTTTTTGCGTGCTTGTGTGGCTCTATTTAGTCTTTACCTTGCCGAAGAACTGAATAGAAAGTTTCCATGACAACTGAAATTCATGCTTTAACACTCACATAGAAGTACGTCTTTAAAAATCAATGTCATTATTTAAGTTGCCACAAGTCACCTTATAATAAGAAGATGCATCATCTAGTGGAGCGTCAGGCCATTTCTTTGCATTGAGATCCATTACTGAGCCAACTTCTAAGTTGGTAATAACCACCTGAAAAACAGAAACAATTAGTTGAACACAACAGAATTGACACCTGAAAAAGCATTGGAACAAGAGACAGACCTTGAGTGGATGTAGAACCACCATGGTACGAGGTGCTGTTTTGTTTAGTTCCTCTCTTATGTGGTACTCAAGGCGGTCAACATTTATCATACTAGAATCACTGCAATACCAGGTATATTGGTGTCAGCAAAAAATTTAGAGGTTTTGATCCATGGCCAAACATTATTATTATTATTATTATATATATATAAGCCAACCTTCTAGTAATTCCAATTCCTCGAACAAAAGCATTAATTGAAGTTGAAGTAACACCTCTACGTCGCAAACCGGATAATGTCATCAAACGGGGATCATCCCAACCATCAACCCGCTTTTCCTTCACAAGACGGTTCAACTGCAATAGCATACCATGGTCAATAAAGTGTATGGAATAAAATACTAGAGTGCATGGGCAGAAAAATACATCCAACAATTCTTTAAGGCTATTTGGATCATGGATTTGAGTAGGAATTTGGAAAGAAAAAGGAAATGAGGAAAAGATTTAGCTTATATTTCATTCAAATTTGCCTCACTTTTTCTTTTCTTTTTCCAAATCTCTACCAAAATCTATTATCCAAACATAGCATAAACAAATAGATGTTCAACAATTCAGCTCACCTTACGTTTTGACATCACTGTGTTAGTTACATTCAATCGTGAGTATTCCCATACATAAGGCTGGAAAAGGCTCAATGCATCCAATAACCAATAATATGAAGCACGCCTTGTCTCAAATTCAAGTGTACAAAGCTGCATAAAATTTTCAAAAATAAAATAAAAATAAAAAGGATAACAAATCTTCCAATTTAGGCTTGCATAGACTCACTTCCAATACAGAATTTACATTTCATATTTGTCAAAGAAGGAAAGACATGGAGCAGAGTGCAAAACATATACGAAAGCATTAGGCTTGCATAGACTCACTAGTAATGTACGTCAGCCATAATAAACTTGGCATAATGATACCTACAATAGATTTGTGGTTGGTCTAAGCCTAAGAAGGCTTCTAGGGCTAAGTTTTTAGAACAAGTATAAGAAATCTTCCAATTTTCTAAATTGAAAAGAAGGAATTTGGCATGGTTTACAATATGTATGGTGACAGGATTTCAGGAATTAGCTGCTGGAATTCTCAGGATGATTTAGGCTTGATTAAGTAAGGCTTCATGGCTGAGATTGGTACCATTCTAGATCTGCAAACAGTACCCTTAGTTTTGTGAAAGATTAAGAAGATAGAGAGAAATCTAGAAATTCCACTTAGAACTCCTTAAGAATAACCCCTCTCCAGTACCAGTGCTAAATATTCTCATCTTAAATAACAAGGGTTCAGACATTACATCACACTTCACAACTATGAAGCATGGGTACTTTGACAAACATGTACCTGTACTGTATACTGGTACTTTGTATGGTACTTCTGCACACATACTAGGTACACAAAACATGTACCTAGATTTTTCTTCTTATTGCTGTACTACAAACGTACCAAAAATATACTTAAGCCGTACCTCAGTCAAAATAGTATTTTCTTCTAATACAAAGGTAAAAATTAGTTTCATTGGACTTCTTTTACCGTTATTATGCTTGCCATGATTTTAAAATTAAGCTATGATTTGTAAGTTGTTTAACATAATGACATTTAATTTTGATTTATACCTTTATTTTTTGCATTAAACTTGAATTGTAGGTTGGATCGTAAAAAACTAAATAATTTACCTAATTTTTACATTATTCCAAATTAAAAATAAATACTTTTTTACAAACGTATCCAGTCGTATCTGTACCTTACCTTTTTTAGATTTTACCGTATTAACGTACCTGTACACACACCCATATGCGTGCTTCAATAGTTTCACACAAATTCTTAAATCACAAAAAATACACATAAGTATTTATGGGCTAATACACTCCTAATTCTTCTAAACTATAAGTCACAATTAGGAAGCTACAGGCTTGTTTGAAAACACGGACTGCACAGTAGTTTCACAATTAAGTGTGTTTGATAATTCATAATCAGCTACCACTTAAACCTGAAAGTTGACTGAAAATGGGTCTCAATTTCAAGGAAAGGAGGACTAAACACTGAATGTTTAATACACTTGACAGAAGGTAGTTTTCATTTTTCATGTTCAACTAACATATTTATCTTAAAATTTTCAAATTTTAAAAATTTAGTACTTAAATATTTCAATACTAGAAATTCGTTACTCAAAATTTCAACTATTTAACTTTTAGTTTTATCAAACAACCGCTAAAACATTTTTAACAAAATAGAATATTCTAGACCTGATGAAAACTCCATATAAGACACAACATTATTTGACTCGAAATGCAGCCCACAGGCAACCCTACAACCCCTTACACTATTTGCAAAATTATCAAAATAACCTAGAACTAAAATCTAATACAAAGCCATTGAATTTATCCAGCAACAATCCAACCTACAATATATATATATATATAACAATAATAATAATCTGCTCAAATTGACCCTAAACGTCATAATATAAAGTCATGGGCATGCTCCATGTGAAATTAGATTTTTCCCATTTTTTCTTCCTTCCATGCTCTAGTCACTACTGGTCTTCTACCAATTTGCATTAAAGCAAGGTCCTCCAAATAGAAGATTAGGGGTTCAAACTGAAATGAGATTAGTGAGGGGTCTTTAAAAAGTATGATACTATGATGTTCTAAAAATACCCAAATGTAAAAAGAAAAGATGAAGACGAAAAACTCTGCCACTTCAAACTGATACAGACGCAAATTGGTGCAAGTTGCATTAGCTAGAGCAAGCCATGGAATAAAATTGGTGCAAGTTGCATTAGCTAGAGCAAGCCATGGAATAAAAACAACCCACAGACCTCACATTTCCAGCTTTAAAGTTAGGCAACAGGGTAAAGAGGCCTAAGTTACTTCTCAATCAAACCCATTTCATAAAAGCCTAAACCAAGACAAGTGGCACAGGATAGGATATGATTGTCTCAAAGCTATGCAAATTCTTATCTAATAGAACCCAAAAAGTTAAACAAGCCAAAATTAGCACTGATTTTATGATGGAAACAGTTTGAGCTTCAAGCATTAACCAACCTATTAGAAAGACAAAAGTCCACTGAAATATGCATATTAGAAGGGACTATCTATAAGAAATTTACATGCAGAAAAGGTAAGTTCAACAAAGCACACAGAAATGTACTATTACCTATTTTCAACACAAAATAAAAGGCTGTTTCAAACTTTTGATTGAGGGAGTTCTCCAAAACCAGTCAGTAGACCAATTTACTATTCTGATTCAATTTCAGAAATACCAATATAACTATAAAAGAACACTGAAAGAAAATTCTAATCCCATCCATTATACACAATACACGAATATTGACTACTCAACAACTGATTTAGAAAATGATAAGCAGCATTCAACAAATTGCTAACTACATTCACATCAACCACAAAACAAGAATGCCAGGGTTACAGTTGCCACAGATGACAGAATGGTTTGGCGAAAAATGTTCATAAACACAAAATTTAGATGTTTATAAAAGCAACCCCGACTTCAGATTTTAGTATCATGATAATCCTCAAATGTTCATATTTCTTTGAAGGAATCTTCTATGTTCGTAATACAAAATTACCATGAACTTACAGGTTATTTTAGTTCTAACATGCTGTGCAGAAGAAGTTGAAAAAGACCTATTGAGTAAAATATCTTCAATTCTCACTTCTAATATAAAAATTCCAATCCAACATAAATATCCACGTCTAAAAAATCAGTAACACAAAATAAAATTCAATAGGCGACAATTTAAATTTCTTCAAACCTATCTTACAGGCGTATGCTTTCCAAATATAGACATACAAGTAATACATGAATGAGATGAACCATATAATTTACATGCCAGCAAACAAACCAGTTGAATTCATGATAGAAGAGAACAATAACAAAGGACTACCAATCTAAGATTCAAAGAAGAAATCAACATACCGAATGTGTAACATTCTCAATAGAATCCACAGTGCAATGTTCATAATCATAACTTGGATAGATACACCCCGCATCCCCTGCATGCGGATGAGGAGTGAACTGGACAACAGAAATCCAAACATCTGAGATATGAGACACTCCTTGAGCATAAGTAATCAAAGATGTTCATGGTGGCACACTTGCCTTGATACGATATGCAATGAGATCGTGCATATTATAATTATCACTTTGCATGTCCTGCTTCATTCTCAGTGTTGCTTTGCCTTCTTCAATTATGCCCCGTTTCATATCATCAAAGAGTTTTAGTGATTCTTCAATTGGTCTATCCCTCCAAGGACTGTTCATCCTTTTTTCCCTGTACTCCTTTATTTCTTCAGGTGTCTGTATTAGATATCAAATCCAAGTGTCAATCATGTATATTTCCCCATGTACATGATGTCAATCTTGTTGTTAGTGTTGAACGCCATGAATGAATAGTAAACAAACTTAGCCCAGGCACACACAAACACATACACAGAAAAAATCACTCATCCTTTTACAGACATTCTTAGTCTATAAGGTCAAATGAATTATTGGCTCAAAAATATGAGGAGCAGTTAAGGAGGCATTAGGATTAAAAGCACTGAAGGACAAAGCTCAGAGTGTTAGAATAATGTATGAAATAAAATTTCAGACATAATAATATTGATATGAAGTTAATTAGCAACCTGATGATCAACATAAGCATGACCCCTTCGTATTAGCTCCACCGCCAATTCATAAAGGTCTTGGAAATAATCACTGGCATAAGTGATCTGCAAATTTAACAAATATTAAATGTTGCCAGCAAACAGAATATGTTACGAACAATTCTATGTACCCCACCTTAACTAACCCTAATTTACCCCTAAAGAGATTATGTGGTTGGGATTAAATTTGTATAGTGTGGGATCCATGTGTAGAATGAATTTGAACCACAAGATGATAATTCTGGATAGTTCAGTCTGGGTTTGTAGTATTACTCAAATGTTATTGATGTGGATGAAAAAAAATTACCTTGAAAGGTTCCCAGCCCATCCACCGCACAATCTCTTCTATATGATCAATATATTCTTTCTTTTCAGCTTCGGGGTTTGTATCATCATACCTAACATTGCAAAAAATAATCACTAAAATCAGAAAACAACAGTCATTCTATAGTTCTTTATCCTTTCCAAAGTTGATTATAAGCAGTCTAAAGACAAAATTGTTTTAAATTTAATGGATTCAATAAATTTTTTTAACTTTTCAGCAAAAGTAATCAATTCTCATGATCATTTGCAAGTAATATTCCAACAAACAGAAACAGTCTGTTTTTTGTTTAATGACTGACACCAATGAGCTCCCACTCATAATCCAAGATACAACACGTCAGTTGTTCAGAGCTAGCCAAACAAGTATACTTTTTCAAATTCATTATACATAGGGACTAAGTTTCATTGAACATGCCAATCTCTTGACATGCTAATCCATTTCTCAATGAAAAATAAAGGTCTGTTTGTTGTGTTTCCATGTTTCCAATTTTTATTTTCCATATTTAATTTTTTTTGGAAAAAACAGAAAATTTGTGTGGCAACTTGTTTTCAAAAACTGTTTTTTGGAATTTTTTCTGAAAAAAAACCCACAATGAGTGTTATATGGAAAATCACCCAAGAAAACAAAAGGACAGAACACCCTCATTTCAATATTATAATAAAGCCAAACCCCAATCTTCCAAAATCAATTAAATGTGTTCGATCAAAATAGAAGCTTCCAACCCACATTCCACTGACCTCCCACAAACTAACTGGGCATAGTGACATTTGGGGATTCTGAAGATGGGGACCATAGATTGGGGGTGTTGATGGTATTTTAGTAAAATTACTCCTATTAAGGGAGTTAACGCTGTTCTGTTTGAGAGGCGGTCGCTCTAATTATCCCATAGTAATGGGGCCAAATGTATTTCTACCAATTGCCAAGAGAGGTCCATGCAATTTACCCGTAATTAATTAATATCATTAATAATTCCTCACTGCATCAAAGCTTAAAACCACATGTACTTTTCTATATTTAGTAACTTCTTTTGCATGCTTGACTTGTGTTTTGGCCATATCAGAATATTTTCTTTTTTCAGTTCTTTTAGGAGTGTCATGTCCATTGCAGGATCAGACATTGAGGTAACAGGACTCCTCAGAAATATCCATATTTCTTAGGTTCTGAGTCAACATTTGAACTCCATATGATGAGACTAGAATAATAATCTTGAATTTTGAAGGTTTCAAAAAATTCAATAAATATTTTTGCCAACTAAATCAAAGGTCCTTGTGGAGGGAGACACTATTCTTTCCTTATCACCACGCTTTTATCAATAAAATATATTCTAAAATATCTAGACAATTACATAGATATCTTTGAAAAAAATTGAGAACTATAACCAGTCAAATTCTTTTTGGTGTTCGATGTTTAGCATTTCAGTCAACACACTCAGATCATACCACATTCTCACCTAACTCATAAAATACTCTCTCTCTCTCTAAGTTCATGACTAAGGAAGATGTAATAGAACAGATGTCATCGAGATGGGACATATCACATATGTATGATGACATAAAAGAGTTCTTAATACATGCAAGGTGACTCTACAGACAACAAAAAGAACAAATTGCTCTGTCTAGCTAGAGCTATTGCACCTCAATAGGAACACACCACACTGTGGGTCTTATTCCCTTTGTATTTGTTTGAGGTCTATCTCCCACTTTGGAAGTTCACATGTAATTATAATTTATGCTATAATTGCCAATTCATTGTACTTCATTGTGTAGTGATACATTGTAAATAAGTATATAAAAAAAATGCTATATGCACAAGCACATGCACACAAATTTTCATAGAAAGTGTTCCAGGCCACGGGTGCAAAATTCTACACTCTAGTGGTTTCCCTGTTTTTATTAGAAGTCTAGTCCATATAAAATAATACAACATACAAGTTGTATCAGAAACGCTCAATACTACAAGTTCCAAAAAGTTTGCCACCAACAGTATTATAGCCATCAAATAAATCCAAAAGCTAACAATGCATCCTCACCTTAGATAGCAACATCCACCTCTTTCTTTTGCCAAACCAAAATTAATAAACATAGCCTGTACAATAGGCTATCAGATGAAGAGCGAGAACCATAACTCAAGAAAATTTGAAAAATAAAAAACTCTTTAACTAGAAAATATGAGTTACCTTGGCATGACCAATATGTAGATACCCATTTGGTTCTGGCGGAAAGCGTGTAAATACTTTCCCCCCTGTTGCCTTCAGATGTTTTTCGAGCATTTCCCTCGTATTGCAAGGTCTCAGCACAGGGCGGTCACTGAAAAATATTTCAGTATGTACCTGAGGACCCACGAGATGGTTATACATGTTAACAAAATCCTATGATAGTGAGAAATTGAGAATAATAAAGCAATGGCTAGCCATTGACTGAAAGCCCACCCTTCTGTAAGGCATTGACAAGCGTAGTTTCCAACTCAAAGATAAGGTAAGAAGTCAACACAATACCAATAAGATTTTGCATGCTTTTACCAGATGAGAAGTTCAGAAACTAGACACAACAAATCATGGCACAAATCAAAACACTTCATTGCAATATCTCTGCTGCCACTATATAGCTTTTACCATTAAGTTTCCAAATATTCATGCATAGTAAAACTAGGGTGTCTTTGAAAAAGGTAAAAAGTAGAAGGATCCTTTTTTTTGGTGAGTAATAAAAGTAGACGGATGTAAATGTAAGTTAACAAACAAATAGAGTTAAAACAAGCTGATATGAAGATCAAACAGTAGGGTACCTTATAGTTTTCCTCTGGTGAAGGGAATATTAAATAGGGGTTGAGTTCTTCTTCAGATGGTTTTGGCGGAGTATCTACAGCAGTAGTGCATTCCTAGATATATGAAAATAGATCAAAAGACATGAGAAAACTTTAAATCAACTGATAAGTAATATATGTGTACAACAGAGAGGCATGCAGCTGTGCCCACCTCAACCTTAACAGGCTTCTCCTTCTTCTTTTTAATAGGCTTTTCATCATCTGCTGCAGTTCTTTCCCCAAGTAATGCATATAAGTTTGCATCTACGAGTTGCTGTTCCAAAAGATAACAAAGAAGTGTAACTAAAAAGATTATTGAAATACCTCAATAAGCCTCTGAAATTATATCATATGTTAAAAACTAAGAAAAGCATTTCGTATCAAATATATATACTACTATATATATATATGCAAAGTATTTTACCTTGACAATCTTCGGATCAGCCCAAGGCTGCCTCTTTCGTACATGACCAAATAATTCACCAACTAAGAATATCACAATCAAATGTGTTAATTAAAATAGAGAAAATTAAGTGTAACTGTTGGATTGCAGGCATCAAGAAAATATGTATATATATGATTTGTTCAGATTCAAGTTCAGATTCATCTGCATGTGAATTTGAATTAAACTTCCCCCTCTTCTTCTCTCCTTGCAGAACCCGATAGTCAAGTTGGAATTAAACTTCCCATATCATATTAAACATGAATCTACACCTTAGCTGGAAATGAAGCCCAAATTCACTGCCAATGTTACTTGAACATGTGGAACATTTCGTGAACAGAAAACATGGTATGCCACATGATGACTAAGGAAGATGTAATAGAACAGATGTCATCGAGATGGGACATATCACATATGTATGATGACATAAAAGAGTTCTTAATACATGCAAGGTGACTCTACAGACAACAAAAAGAACAAATTGCTCTGTCTAGCTAGAGCTATTGCACCTCAATAGGAACACACCACACTGTGGGTCTTATTCCCTTTGTATTTGTTTGAGGTCTATCTCCCACTTTGGAAGTTCACATGTAATTATAATTTATGCTATAATTGCCAATTCATTGTACTTCATTGTGTAGTGATACATTGTAAATAAGTATATAAAAAAAATGCTATATGCACAAGCACATGCACACAAATTTTCATAGAAAGTGTTCCAGGCCACGGGTGCAAAATTCTACACTCTAGTGGTTTCCCTGTTTTTATTAGAAGTCTAGTCCATATAAAATAATACAACATACAAGTTGTATCAGAAACGCTCAATACTACAAGTTCCAAAAAGTTTGCCACCAACAGTATTATAGCCATCAAATAAATCCAAAAGCTAACAATGCATCCTCACCTTAGATAGCAACATCCACCTCTTTCTTTTGCCAAACCAAAATTAATAAACATAGCCTGTACAATAGGCTATCAGATGAAGAGTGAGAACCAAAACTCAAGAAAAATTGAAAAATAAAAAACTCTTTAACTAGAAAATATGAGTTACCTTGGCATGACCAATATGTAGATACCCATTTGGTTCTGGCGGAAAGCGTGTAAATACTTTCCCCCCTGTTGCCTTCAGATGTTTTTCGAGCATTTCCCTCGTATTGCAAGGTCTCAGCACAGGGCGGTCACTGAAAAATATTTCAGTATGTACCTGAGGACCCACGAGATGGTTATACATGTTAACAAAATCCTATGATAGTGAGAAATTGAGAATAATAAAGCAATGGCTAGCCATTGACTGAAAGCCCACCCTTCTGTAAGGCATTGACAAGCGTAGTTTCCAACTCAAAGATAAGGTAAGAAGTCAACACAATACCAATAAGATTTTGCATGCTTTTACCAGATGAGAAGTTCAGAAACTAGACACAACAAATCATGGCACAAATCAAAACACTTCATTGCAATATCTCTGCTGCCACTATATAGCTTTTACCATTAAGTTTCCAAATATTCATGCATAGTAAAACTAGGGTGTCTTTGAAAAAGGTAAAAAGTAGAAGGATCCTTTTTTTTGGTGAGTAATAAAAGTAGACGGATGTAAATGTAAGTTAACAAACAAATAGAGTTAAAACAAGCTGATATGAAGATCAAACAGTAGGGTACCTTATAGTTTTCCTCTGGTGAAGGGAATATTAAATAGGGGTTGAGTTCTTCTTCAGATGGTTTTGGCGGAGTATCTACAGCAGTAGTGCATTCCTAGATATATGAAAATAGATCAAAAGACATGAGAAAACTTTAAATCAACTGATAAGTAATATATGTGTACAACAGAGAGGCATGCAGCTGTGCCCACCTCAACCTTAACAGGCTTCTCCTTCTTCTTTTTAATAGGCTTTTCATCATCTGCTGCAGTTCTTTCCCCAAGTAATGCATATAAGTTTGCATCTACGAGTTGCTGTTCCAAAAGATAACAAAGAAGTGTAACTAAAAAGATTATTGAAATACCTCAATAAGCCTCTGAAATTATATCATATGTTAAAAACTAAGAAAAGCATTTCGTATCAAATATATATACTACTATATATATATATGCAAAGTATTTTACCTTGACAATCTTCGGATCAGCCCAAGGCTGCCTCTTTCGTACATGACCAAATAATTCACCAACTAAGAATATCACAATCAAATGTGTTAATTAAAATAGAGAAAATTAAGTGTAACTGTTGGATTGCAGGCATCAAGAAAATATGTATATATATGATTTGTTCAGATTCAAGTTCAGATTCATCTGCATGTGAATTTGAATTAAACTTCCCCCTCTTCTTCTCTCCTTGCAGAACCCGATAGTCAAGTTGGAATTAAACTTCCCATATCATATTAAACATGAATCTACACCTTAGCTGGAAATGAAGCCCAAATTCACTGCCAATGTTACTTGAACATGTGGAACATTTCGTGAACAGAAAACATGGTATGCCACATGATGACTAAGGAAGATGTAATAGAACAGATGTCATCGAGATGGGACATATCACATATGTATGATGACATAAAAGAGTTCTTAATACATGCAAGGTGACTCTACAGACAACAAAAAGAACAAATTGCTCTGTCTAGCTAGAGCTATTGCACCTCAATAGGAACACACCACACTGTGGGTCTTATTCCCTTTGTATTTGTTTGAGGTCTATCTCCCACTTTGGAAGTTCACATGTAATTATAATTTATGCTATAATTGCCAATTCATTGTACTTCATTGTGTAGTGATACATTGTAAATAAGTATATAAAAAAAATGCTATATGCACAAGCACATGCACACAAATTTTCATAGAAAGTGTTCCAGGCCACGGGTGCAAAATTCTACACTCTAGTGGTTTCCCTGTTTTTATTAGAAGTCTAGTCCATATAAAATAATACAACATACAAGTTGTATCAGAAACGCTCAATACTACAAGTTCCAAAAAGTTTGCCACCAACAGTATTATAGCCATCAAATAAATCCAAAAGCTAACAATGCATCCTCACCTTAGATAGCAACATCCACCTCTTTCTTTTGCCAAACCAAAATTAATAAACATAGCCTGTACAATAGGCTATCAGATGAAGAGTGAGAACCAAAACTCAAGAAAAATTGAAAAATAAAAAACTCTTTAACTAGAAAATATGAGTTACCTTGGCATGACCAATATGTAGATACCCATTTGGTTCTGGCGGAAAGCGTGTAAATACTTTCCCCCCTGTTGCCTTCAGATGTTTTTCGAGCATTTCCCTCGTATTGCAAGGTCTCAGCACAGGGCGGTCACTGAAAAATATTTCAGTATGTACCTGAGGACCCACGAGATGGTTATACATGTTAACAAAATCCTATGATAGTGAGAAATTGAGAATAATAAAGCAATGGCTAGCCATTGACTGAAAGCCCACCCTTCTGTAAGGCATTGACAAGCGTAGTTTCCAACTCAAAGATAAGGTAAGAAGTCAACACAATACCAATAAGATTTTGCATGCTTTTACCAGATGAGAAGTTCAGAAACTAGACACAACAAATCATGGCACAAATCAAAACACTTCATTGCAATATCTCTGCTGCCACTATATAGCTTTTACCATTAAGTTTCCAAATATTCATGCATAGTAAAACTAGGGTGTCTTTGAAAAAGGTAAAAAGTAGAAGGATCCTTTTTTTTGGTGAGTAATAAAAGTAGACGGATGTAAATGTAAGTTAACAAACAAATAGAGTTAAAACAAGCTGATATGAAGATCAAACAGTAGGGTACCTTATAGTTTTCCTCTGGTGAAGGGAATATTAAATAGGGGTTGAGTTCTTCTTCAGATGGTTTTGGCGGAGTATCTACAGCAGTAGTGCATTCCTAGATATATGAAAATAGATCAAAAGACATGAGAAAACTTTAAATCAACTGATAAGTAATATATGTGTACAACAGAGAGGCATGCAGCTGTGCCCACCTCAACCTTAACAGGCTTCTCCTTCTTCTTTTTAATAGGCTTTTCATCATCTGCTGCAGTTCTTTCCCCAAGTAATGCATATAAGTTTGCATCTACGAGTTGCTGTTCCAAAAGATAACAAAGAAGTGTAACTAAAAAGATTATTGAAATACCTCAATAAGCCTCTGAAATTATATCATATGTTAAAAACTAAGAAAAGCATTTCGTATCAAATATATATACTACTATATATATATATGCAAAGTATTTTACCTTGACAATCTTCGGATCAGCCCAAGGCTGCCTCTTTCGTACATGACCAAATAATTCACCAACTAAGAATATCACAATCAAATGTGTTAATTAAAATAGAGAAAATTAAGTGTAACTGTTGGATTGCAGGCATCAAGAAAATATGTATATATATGATTTGTTCAGATTCAAGTTCAGATTCATCTGCATGTGAATTTGAATTAAACTTCCCCCTCTTCTTCTCTCCTTGCAGAACCCGATAGTCAAGTTGGAATTAAACTTCCCATATCATATTAAACATGAATCTACACCTTAGCTGGAAATGAAGCCCAAATTCACTGCCAATGTTACTTGAACATGTGGAACATTTCGTGAACAGAAAACATGGTATGCCACATGATGACTAAGGAAGATGTAATAGAACAGATGTCATCGAGATGGGACATATCACATATGTATGATGACATAAAAGAGTTCTTAATACATGCAAGGTGACTCTACAGACAACAAAAAGAACAAATTGCTCTGTCTAGCTAGAGCTATTGCACCTCAATAGGAACACACCACACTGTGGGTCTTATTCCCTTTGTATTTGTTTGAGGTCTATCTCCCACTTTGGAAGTTCACATGTAATTATAATTTATGCTATAATTGCCAATTCATTGTACTTCATTGTGTAGTGATACATTGTAAATAAGTATATAAAAAAAATGCTATATGCACAAGCACATGCACACAAATTTTCATAGAAAGTGTTCCAGGCCACGGGTGCAAAATTCTACACTCTAGTGGTTTCCCTGTTTTTATTAGAAGTCTAGTCCATATAAAATAATACAACATACAAGTTGTATCAGAAACGCTCAATACTACAAGTTCCAAAAAGTTTGCCACCAACAGTATTATAGCCATCAAATAAATCCAAAAGCTAACAATGCATCCTCACCTTAGATAGCAACATCCACCTCTTTCTTTTGCCAAACCAAAATTAATAAACATAGCCTGTACAATAGGCTATCAGATGAAGAGTGAGAACCAAAACTCAAGAAAAATTGAAAAATAAAAAACTCTTTAACTAGAAAATATGAGTTACCTTGGCATGACCAATATGTAGATACCCATTTGGTTCTGGCGGAAAGCGTGTAAATACTTTCCCCCCTGTTGCCTTCAGATGTTTTTCGAGCATTTCCCTCGTATTGCAAGGTCTCAGCACAGGGCGGTCACTGAAAAATATTTCAGTATGTACCTGAGGACCCACGAGATGGTTATACATGTTAACAAAATCCTATGATAGTGAGAAATTGAGAATAATAAAGCAATGGCTAGCCATTGACTGAAAGCCCACCCTTCTGTAAGGCATTGACAAGCGTAGTTTCCAACTCAAAGATAAGGTAAGAAGTCAACACAATACCAATAAGATTTTGCATGCTTTTACCAGATGAGAAGTTCAGAAACTAGACACAACAAATCATGGCACAAATCAAAACACTTCATTGCAATATCTCTGCTGCCACTATATAGCTTTTACCATTAAGTTTCCAAATATTCATGCATAGTAAAACTAGGGTGTCTTTGAAAAAGGTAAAAAGTAGAAGGATCCTTTTTTTTGGTGAGTAATAAAAGTAGACGGATGTAAATGTAAGTTAACAAACAAATAGAGTTAAAACAAGCTGATATGAAGATCAAACAGTAGGGTACCTTATAGTTTTCCTCTGGTGAAGGGAATATTAAATAGGGGTTGAGTTCTTCTTCAGATGGTTTTGGCGGAGTATCTACAGCAGTAGTGCATTCCTAGATATATGAAAATAGATCAAAAGACATGAGAAAACTTTAAATCAACTGATAAGTAATATATGTGTACAACAGAGAGGCATGCAGCTGTGCCCACCTCAACCTTAACAGGCTTCTCCTTCTTCTTTTTAATAGGCTTTTCATCATCTGCTGCAGTTCTTTCCCCAAGTAATGCATATAAGTTTGCATCTACGAGTTGCTGTTCCAAAAGATAACAAAGAAGTGTAACTAAAAAGATTATTGAAATACCTCAATAAGCCTCTGAAATTATATCATATGTTAAAAACTAAGAAAAGCATTTCGTATCAAATATATATACTACTATATATATATATGCAAAGTATTTTACCTTGACAATCTTCGGATCAGCCCAAGGCTGCCTCTTTCGTACATGACCAAATAATTCACCAACTAAGAATATCACAATCAAATGTGTTAATTAAAATAGAGAAAATTAAGTGTAACTGTTGGATTGCAGGCATCAAGAAAATATGTATATATATGATTTGTTCAGATTCAAGTTCAGATTCATCTGCATGTGAATTTGAATTAAACTTCCCCCTCTTCTTCTCTCCTTGCAGAACCCGATAGTCAAGTTGGAATTAAACTTCCCATATCATATTAAACATGAATCTACACCTTAGCTGGAAATGAAGCCCAAATTCACTGCCAATGTTACTTGAACATGTGGAACATTTCGTGAACAGAAAACATGGTATGCCACATGATGACTAAGGAAGATGTAATAGAACAGATGTCATCGAGATGGGACATATCACATATGTATGATGACATAAAAGAGTTCTTAATACATGCAAGGTGACTCTACAGACAACAAAAAGAACAAATTGCTCTGTCTAGCTAGAGCTATTGCACCTCAATAGGAACACACCACACTGTGGGTCTTATTCCCTTTGTATTTGTTTGAGGTCTATCTCCCACTTTGGAAGTTCACATGTAATTATAATTTATGCTATAATTGCCAATTCATTGTACTTCATTGTGTAGTGATACATTGTAAATAAGTATATAAAAAAAATGCTATATGCACAAGCACATGCACACAAATTTTCATAGAAAGTGTTCCAGGCCACGGGTGCAAAATTCTACACTCTAGTGGTTTCCCTGTTTTTATTAGAAGTCTAGTCCATATAAAATAATACAACATACAAGTTGTATCAGAAACGCTCAATACTACAAGTTCCAAAAAGTTTGCCACCAACAGTATTATAGCCATCAAATAAATCCAAAAGCTAACAATGCATCCTCACCTTAGATAGCAACATCCACCTCTTTCTTTTGCCAAACCAAAATTAATAAACATAGCCTGTACAATAGGCTATCAGATGAAGAGTGAGAACCAAAACTCAAGAAAAATTGAAAAATAAAAAACTCTTTAACTAGAAAATATGAGTTACCTTGGCATGACCAATATGTAGATACCCATTTGGTTCTGGCGGAAAGCGTGTAAATACTTTCCCCCCTGTTGCCTTCAGATGTTTTTCGAGCATTTCCCTCGTATTGCAAGGTCTCAGCACAGGGCGGTCACTGAAAAATATTTCAGTATGTACCTGAGGACCCACGAGATGGTTATACATGTTAACAAAATCCTATGATAGTGAGAAATTGAGAATAATAAAGCAATGGCTAGCCATTGACTGAAAGCCCACCCTTCTGTAAGGCATTGACAAGCGTAGTTTCCAACTCAAAGATAAGGTAAGAAGTCAACACAATACCAATAAGATTTTGCATGCTTTTACCAGATGAGAAGTTCAGAAACTAGACACAACAAATCATGGCACAAATCAAAACACTTCATTGCAATATCTCTGCTGCCACTATATAGCTTTTACCATTAAGTTTCCAAATATTCATGCATAGTAAAACTAGGGTGTCTTTGAAAAAGGTAAAAAGTAGAAGGATCCTTTTTTTTGGTGAGTAATAAAAGTAGACGGATGTAAATGTAAGTTAACAAACAAATAGAGTTAAAACAAGCTGATATGAAGATCAAACAGTAGGGTACCTTATAGTTTTCCTCTGGTGAAGGGAATATTAAATAGGGGTTGAGTTCTTCTTCAGATGGTTTTGGCGGAGTATCTACAGCAGTAGTGCATTCCTAGATATATGAAAATAGATCAAAAGACATGAGAAAACTTTAAATCAACTGATAAGTAATATATGTGTACAACAGAGAGGCATGCAGCTGTGCCCACCTCAACCTTAACAGGCTTCTCCTTCTTCTTTTTAATAGGCTTTTCATCATCTGCTGCAGTTCTTTCCCCAAGTAATGCATATAAGTTTGCATCTACGAGTTGCTGTTCCAAAAGATAACAAAGAAGTGTAACTAAAAAGATTATTGAAATACCTCAATAAGCCTCTGAAATTATATCATATGTTAAAAACTAAGAAAAGCATTTCGTATCAAATATATATACTACTATATATATATATGCAAAGTATTTTACCTTGACAATCTTCGGATCAGCCCAAGGCTGCCTCTTTCGTACATGACCAAATAATTCACCAACTAAGAATATCACAATCAAATGTGTTAATTAAAATAGAGAAAATTAAGTGTAACTGTTGGATTGCAGGCATCAAGAAAATATGTATATATATGATTTGTTCAGATTCAAGTTCAGATTCATCTGCATGTGAATTTGAATTAAACTTCCCCCTCTTCTTCTCTCCTTGCAGAACCCGATAGTCAAGTTGGAATTAAACTTCCCATATCATATTAAACATGAATCTACACCTTAGCTGGAAATGAAGCCCAAATTCACTGCCAATGTTACTTGAACATGTGGAACATTTCGTGAACAGAAAACATGGTATGCCACATGATGACTAAGGAAGATGTAATAGAACAGATGTCATCGAGATGGGACATATCACATATGTATGATGACATAAAAGAGTTCTTAATACATGCAAGGTGACTCTACAGACAACAAAAAGAACAAATTGCTCTGTCTAGCTAGAGCTATTGCACCTCAATAGGAACACACCACACTGTGGGTCTTATTCCCTTTGTATTTGTTTGAGGTCTATCTCCCACTTTGGAAGTTCACATGTAATTATAATTTATGCTATAATTGCCAATTCATTGTACTTCATTGTGTAGTGATACATTGTAAATAAGTATATAAAAAAAATGCTATATGCACAAGCACATGCACACAAATTTTCATAGAAAGTGTTCCAGGCCACGGGTGCAAAATTCTACACTCTAGTGGTTTCCCTGTTTTTATTAGAAGTCTAGTCCATATAAAATAATACAACATACAAGTTGTATCAGAAACGCTCAATACTACAAGTTCCAAAAAGTTTGCCACCAACAGTATTATAGCCATCAAATAAATCCAAAAGCTAACAATGCATCCTCACCTTAGAT